AGAATCAATTTCAAGTTGAATACTTTATAAATGGAAGCAATGAACATTTCATCAGTGCGTTGGCTATGTTCTTTGGATTCACAGATTCTGATCAACGGAATTATTAAAAACCGGCCCATAGATAATTATGACTAATGTAAACTAAACGTATAAAAAAACGCTATCACCACCGTGAAAAAAAACTAAAATATTAACATTCGGTTTTTAGATGTAAAAAACACCAACGACAAAACATATTTTCCCATATACTTTCTCTGGAATGCATACGTTATTAAAATAAATCATTACTTTATTTAGTTAAATTCAGATTAAATTTATAAGTGTAAGATGCTACAGTGTATCTTGAAAAAAAAACTGCTAGATAGTAATAATAAAGGTTAAAAAATAATAGTGCTTCGCAGTCTATGAGTCCGCATGTGTCTATCATCAACGCCATTAAATACACATCACAGCAAACACATCATAATACTATAAAAACTCTCCACTTTTATGTGCCATCTGTATACGACGTATCTTTGCAATAAAGAAAAAAGGAAAAGAAAATATAGAAAAGATGTATGCACATTAAATTATAACTCGATGGACCGTTCGTTATGTTTTAGTAGTTCAACACGCACACACGTGCGGTGAGACTGTGCGCACGAACGACTAATCATTATTATTATTCCGTGTGAGGAGTAACCCATAATTAAAACCAAATTGTACGTTTGTTGGCTTAATGTTTATTTTACATAACTATCAGCAAAGGTGACGAGTGAAAAATATTTCATGTTCATTATAATTTAATCTTTATATTTCATCCTGAAAACGCAATACGATATAAAGTGTCGATAAACATTCATTTACAATATTTACCAAAATTGGTACAAATATTATTTGTCTTTAATTTACTTTATTGAGAAATTCTGTTTATTTTACCCCATTCTTCAAATAAACGGAATTGTATCATGATCTTTTAATTTTCTTTAATTGAAAGGGATCTGACACTTAATATATATATATATATATACACACATCTATAATTATATTTAATTATTAATAAAACGATAATGTTATAAAAATACACTTAACAGTACAATTTTATTGGAAATTATCAAAAATATGGCTTAGTTATACTCGAAATTCTTTTGATTTTAAGCCCATAAAAAATATATAAAACTGTAGTAGAATCGCACTTAACTGGTCAGTTATTTTATACTTAATTAAAAGTCCAATTAATTTTTTATAATCATTTCTATTGCTAATTTAGACTCGAGAAACAAGTTATATCTTTTACATAATTGTTCAATTAAATTTTATTTTTGGATAATTAAAATTTTTTGTGTCGAGAGTTCTTAATAAATATTCAAGATGAATTTCGAACCTCACATAACACTTAATTAAATATGAACAATATAATGTTTTAACAAACTATCGGGTGGCGTGATATGAAATTTTTTAAAAAAAAGTGTATATAAGAATATTTTACTAATTATCTACGGACATTTTTCCATATGACTTTTTCCATTGAAAGGTCAAAATAAAAATCCTTATTAATTATCTCAGTTAACCTCACTTTGACTACCCTACATAGGTGGAAATAGAATATAAACTTTGGGAGACTAATTAAATATTTTAATACTTTCTCCCACCTTAAAATATATTTTTACATAACTGTACATATCATTTTCTAAATTTAGGGTAGTTAAGACCTAAGCCATTTCCATTTTCCTCAGTATTACAATATAAACATTGCTTTGCAGTTAGCCTTTTTTATACTTCCTTGACAAACTCGCGTTACTTGTGCGTGTTTACAAGATGTATAAAAATTAATTTATAATTATAAATTCTATAGACTATGAATAATATTAACTTTGAATATTTTAAATATATTAATAGATTTCATGGAAGCTGTTGTAAATACCTCCATTAATTTAATGCCATGTCGCTATGCACAATATTCCAAATGATATTTAACAAATTAGCAGATCATTATCGAAATATTTACATTTTACATTTTCTCAATGTTTTATTTATTTAAGACAACAAAACCGTGAGAATCTCTGGGGAAATAAATTCTAAAAGTCTACTTTCGCGCAGTGTTATAAGTAACGAATAATAAAGTGTTGAATAGCAATACCCGAAGTTGCAGTTGTAATACTTAAATTTGACATAGTAAAAATTAATTTATGATTCTATTTTTTTTTTTTTTAACAAAATGTTGAAAAAATAATTTTAGTCGAAGCTGAATAAAATTAAAAAATCTTGTCGGTAATATTACAAATAGAATGTCGACTGTAATCGATTTTATGAAAGCTACTTCTTTGTTCAATGAAGGCTATATTTGATTTTGTGAGAGCTACTTCTTTGTTTATTAAAAACGTCAGCCAGGACGTAAATGATCGCACGTGTGTTTAGAGATATTATTTTAATCCGCTTCTTTACTGTTTGGTTCTGTTTACCGATTTATTTGTTTATGAAAGATGTTCGAGTTGTGGTCAAACTTAAACACGAACACTGCAATGCGCGTGTCTCTGCATGTGGCATGAGACTGACCCTATAAATAATAAAAATTGTTATTGTAGTTATTCATTGAACACTGACAAAGACTTTTAAAACCGCACATGTGTATAATTGTTTTAAATTTTTATATGATTAGCATTGAGTTATATATACGATACAAAATCACATCAAACCAAACCTAAATCGTTAAAATTTTCAGGAATCGACGAAAAGCTATCTATTTAAGGATCAAAGTACTAGCAAATATCGTAATCAAAATATTAACACTTCACTGTGACCCCAACATAGTTCGAAAGACAAGTGTGTCTATTGCGTGGCCATCGCAGTAAATTATATAAAAAATAAACTGCAATATTTACGTTTAAATAAGTTAATATACACAACAGCCGATAGAAATTCGAGAGAATGCATTCACTATTTCATAGGTAAGAGCTAATAATTTATAGGTAATCAGGGTTAAAAAGATTTGTGAAGTGCCGCTCTATAACGTGACCAAAGTAATTTTTTAAAGGATTACTTGGTTTGTGACTGCGGCTCGTTAACCATGCCACGAAACTAGTAAGTAACATGAGTTGTGAGTTCTTTAAGCTGCACATTTGAAAATCCAAAGTGGTAAGCTGCAAAACTATTGCTATACGATCGTGTGATCAATGACCATTATTCATATAAATACAATAATAACATAATGTATTCATATATGCAGTATCTATAAATTATAATGCACATAGGTACACTGTATTTGTCCTTGTTGTATTACATTTGCGCGAAAATTCACTTTGGAATTAATGAGATACGTTCAGTTATTCGTTGAAAGAAACCTTTCGTTGTGTACTACAAAACAACAGTATAATAATTCATGTGGTCCATTGCCCACTCATATACTCTTTATGACAAGAAAAAAAACATAAGTTAATAATTTTTTAACAACAAAATTAACATTAAGGCCGATTTATTTGTTTAATATAGTAGATTAAATTTAATAGTTTAGTTTTATTTTAATGATAGATTAATTAGAAAATTTATGTTTCATAATAGTTAAATAGAGGTCAATTTTTCGAATGTATTTTTTTAATTTTTTATTCTCAAAAGAATTTTTTATTCTTTAAACTTTCTTAGAAATGTCCTGGTTACCCAGTCCGTTGAAATTATTTCTACGATTATGTAAAGTAAATCGCGTTTTCCATTGAAAGTATAATATTTTGAAAATTCAAATGACAATTTTTAAACTAATTTTTAAGAGTTTAAAAAATACTAAAAAAATAATTTGATAAATTCTTTTATTTATAGATGGTAATAAATTTAGCTACTGTCAATTACAAATTACAATTAATCATTAATACAAATTTAGTGATACTTGGTAGATTTATTTTGAGCAAAATTTCGAAAGAGACGTATTATAATCAAAGATTAAAAATGATAATAAGATTGTTACACATTGGTCTTTTTGGTTAATAACCTTTTTTTTTTTTTTTATGAGGATCCCAATGGTTGCCAACGTTTATATGAAAGTATTACTTACACCTACATATTATAAACAAATAATTGGCAACAGATTTGTGTCAAAAAATTACTCAAAATAAAATTGTTGGTAAGTTTTCATTTAGATCTCTACAATAAGGTACAAATATATACTTGTATATATATATATTTATGTGTGTGTGTATGTATATATGTGTCGAATTTTGGCGCCGGTAAACAGCTGCTTACCGGCACACTACCTATTAGTCAATTCTACTTTTTAATATTTATTATTTCATAAAAAAAAATTATGTAACAATGTTACATTTAAAATAAAATTCGACTAGTAGTTTATTTGTTTAATAAAACTAACTTACTTATATTCAGTGGTGTTTTGGGGGTATACGCGAGTTTACGGCGTATATCAACTAACATTTTTTTAAATTATTGTATGCCCTAGAAAAATAATACTTATGTACAGAGTCTATGTTTACAAATCAGCGTAGGATAACATCACCACCAGTGAATGAATACTACCAGTAAATTAAAACTATTGAGTTTGTTACAAAAAAAAATGTTCTAATTTGATTGTAACAAGTTGTAGAAAGTAGTTTTTCATAAAAAAATTTTTTTAATTGAGTCCTACTGTATTATCACAATATCATTCGCTGGAAAATTGAAATTCTCAACATAAAATAATTAATTAAAATGTTTACGTTAACTAATTATAAATATACTACATAATTTATAATTATAATTATAAAAAAATGTATAGAGAACAAATATTTATTAACTTTATGAGTGTGGCGTGACAATACAAATGAATAAAGAAGAAAAACTCTTAACTGTTCTTTCACTGGTAAAGTCACTCTGTACCCAAAGACATTATAAAGGTTTTTTTTTCGAAAACGCTACTACTAATATTGGCTTAATTAGGGTGTACGGCTATTTCAATCCGGTCTGATGGTAACCATGGCGCATGCCGGCGCCAGTTAATGCCTGTCAACGGCTTAGGCGGCACGGACAACATTACTTGGTGTCCCGTCTTCAGTAGAACCATTTCATCCGTTTCGAGTGCACGTTAGTCTCCGTCCGCCGCTCGCCGGTGTAACAGCTGATGTCTCGTTCGATTAGTATTAAACATACGATTGTTTAAATAATTGTTTAATTATAAAATCATTTTTCGTCGATTGTTATTCTGTGTCATGTCGACTGTTTTTTTACATTTAACTGCCGTTACGGCTTTCTTAGCGACCGCAAGTGAGTGCTTGAAGATAGGGGATGATAAAAACAAACTTTTTCAAAAAGAGCCTACAGTAACAAATACTGGTAAGCTCCATTTTATTAGTTTATAGTAAAATTATTGTAATACAAAAAAAATCTGCCAACGGTATTTATTTATTTGAGATATTTCAACATAATAATTTTTAATTTACATATAATTTTTCATTAATGGTCTTGGGAAAATCTATAGTTGTAATTTTTTTTGCTCTGTCGAATAATCATTATAATAATAACAATTGAAATTAATTATTTTTACGATTGTTAGGGAAATCCGTCATTATTATATTGGATTAGGATGATTTATTGATAAGGTCGTTTCATTCTTTGCACTTTTATAATTGTACATTATACCGTTTCCATTATTTAATTATTATTGCTACTTTCTTAATATTCATGTAACAAGACAAAAAATAAAATCCAAACATTCTAATATGTATTTAATTAGTTCTAGTCCCAGAGCAACATGGTAGGCTGCTATGAATGGGCTCCTGTTACTGTCGACCTGTTGAATATCCCTTGGACAATGTCCCGGTACTAAATAGAGTAATTAATACGTCGTTATGAAACCAAACTACAGTAGACTGGTGTTTAGAGTGTACCATAACTGTTTTTCAATTACATGCAATGTATTTATACTTCCGGCATTTGCGCTTGACTTTAATACTATAAAAATGGGAAGGGCTAAACCTGCGGGTATGTACACATTAAGGAGTGAATCCATAAAAAAAAACACAACGAAAAACATTTAATATCTGAGTTTCAAGTCACGAGAAAACAATGTACAACATAAGAGGCCTCGTGACTAGGTAAACCTGCAATTTGTGTTATATATACTAAAAACGTCATTTTACAATATACTATTTTATGATTATTTTGAAGAGGGTCGAAAAGAAGAATGCGTTGGCCGACGCCGACTGGTAGGAGGATGGGTACAGGCATCATGTTAGAGTATATATTTCGGCAACAGACGGCCCACGGGACTGCGGCGGCCATGGTGATGGCGCTTGACTGCATCTGCCGCCTGGCGTCAGCCGTCTGTCCCATATTGGTACCCTACAGGCGCCTGGTGTTACAGTCCTCGACGCTGTCCTGGTTATATTCGCCGCCAGTATATTAACGACACGCATCACAAAAGGCCTTTTTTGCTGCAGTATAAAGTTTTTTTTTTTTTTAATGGAGACCTTTTATTGAATACTAGATGACATTTCACACCCCGTCACGCGATTGTATTCTGCGACAAATTTTATTAACTATTGTTGATACGAATCTTACTGGGTTAAAACATATCCAGTCTATTATTTTCTCTACATACGCATTTCATCCGTCCATATTGTTAATCTAAACTGAATAGTGAAATGTATTTAAAAAAATCATGATGGTAGATTCATTAAAAAATGGTGATTTTATTTGTTTAATTTCAATATTATTTATAAAAGTAAACAAGATTAATTAATAACAAAAATTATGAGTGATCAGTAGTAGTAATTTAAACAATAAATTTTATATTGATATTTTACATGTTCGCTTTTATCCGCTTTATATGCGTAGGATGGTTAAATTTTTTGAAGGGCGAAATAGAATTTTTCCCCGTCCAAGAAATAATTTTTATACAACAATATACGCAATGTTATATATGTATTATTTTGCTAAATTTTAGGGGGCCAAGTCCCCTAGTCTCCCTCGCCCTAAGCCTATAAACCGCTTGTTAACAATATCAAAAACAATTTTACGTCATATTTTTTCCTTTGTTTACCCACATAAACTAAATTTTAGTTAATGTAAATGAAAATAGACGATGACTATTTCATTGCATCTGTTTATTCTCTATTGTTACGAATGCCATTAGAAACAAAAGCACCGGCGATAATACTCAGCATAGTATTATTTCCCTTAGTCGTTGTGCATGTGTGCGTATATAGTATATAATAGTATTTATAAATGTACTTATAATGGTTAATTGATAGTTCTCAGATGTGAGAGCGTTATTTTTGGATCTATCACAATATGCTGTTACCCCAACACAAACATCTTGGAAGATTTTGATGAGCGCTACTTTTTATGCTTTACGAATATATTTATTACACAGCCACGTTTGAAAGCATAATATATTTCATTCACAACTAAAATATAAACCATTAGTTTCATCAAAGAAACCCATAAATCGGCCGCTAAACAATAAATAACATCTTCATGTTTGTTTAACCCGTCATGAGATGTTGATTAATTAATTGAGTAAAACAAAGTATCCTCGAGCTACTACGCGAAATTTTCTTCTGGCCAATCCGCTGTGACATGTTTGCCTTGTTTCCAAAAAAATGTTTTAAACAAAAAATCTGAACTTTTTTTCTACGGTATCCTAGTGAATAAAAGTAAGAGCGAGATACTTGTACCGCGCAATAGTCATGTTTTTATTTTTAGGTTCAGACAGTATTCGTTAAAGATTATTCTTTTATTTATTTCTGTGATTTACTCGTCGCCATCAAACCCGAAATCGGAATTCGGCATCAGTAGCTCAAAACGATAAAGACAGTAAAAACAATAATATATTATTCACGGTTCAGATGTATTGTCTATGTGTATTGGTCTGCGCGGTAACACGGTCTGTTAGTTTGCTGCTGTCACTCTCTCTCGTTAACAGTTAATGACATGTTGGTGTATACCATTAAGCTGGAGCCCGTTAAAATGAAAACAAAGTACATAATATTACACGTTCCAAACAGTAATTATAAATTATAACGACAAACGCTCTTTATTGAAACGAACAACTGTCGAGTAGTCTCTAGAGGATATTGTTTGCTGTTGGCGGCAGGAAACGCACAGGTGTAAATTTTTCTCTTGTATATGTACTGGAAATATTTAAAATGGTTTTTCGTTTCCGGGCGTGAAACACGCACAACCAAAATTAACTGACCCCAAGTGTCGTTTTGCACCCGGACCTGAGTTCTCTTACTAAACGACCATATTCATAATTGCATTGTTGAACATTTAAACTATCACTTTGGTATAATTAATTTCACGGAGTCAATTTTCTTTCTTGTTTTATTACTTATTTATAATGAATTTAACTAATTACGTTATTTTATTGCATTTTTGGTATTTTTTTTTTTTTTTTTATAAAACGTTGCATTACATTATGCATCTAATCAAATAATATGACTAATATTATGATTTATTTGTAATAATGAGAATATTAACGCTAATCCGCATCCGTCTTCTCCTTAAATCGTATGTTTTTTTATTAATCTGTAGCGTGCTCTCTTTAATTGATCCAAGTTAAACGCCAGTTTAACATAATTGTATTTATTTACTTAAAATTATGGAAAAATATATTTACCTAGATTCCACAAACAACTTAATTAAAATAATAGATATTTAAGTCTATTCAGACTCTTCGTACATAATTTTTTTCTACATTGATTACGGCCACACGGAAGTAATCGGATCAACAGTACGATGCATTTCATCGGTCACTAGTTAATGAAACACTGCGTTGTTTATCTCGACAGTTTATCTATAATTATTGATTATTTACTGTCCTCTGCCTTGTCTGTGCATAATATTATAACTGTTATGTTTAGTACGATTTTTATCTCTTCATCAGATCTCAAACTCTTCGCCTCAGCGCGGTACCTTCGAATTTCAAACCTGATTTATTTTAATATTTGTTTTTAGACCGTACAGAAAAAATATCAACAACATAAACTACTTCCGAACGCAGACTCCTCTACCTCTCTAGTTTCTTTTTGTCGACCGCTTGTACAAACATAATGTGTGCCTCCTATAGTCCTCCGAGTCTCTTAGCTCAGCGTGACTTCTTCTCGTCTCTTGTTTTACAATATAATACGAGTACACGTATACATAAATGCATGTATATACATATAGTTTAATAATGAAATAATAACATGTTAGCCCACCTATACAAGTATATTATGTAATATACATATATATATATATACTTTGCGGCGGCTGTTGTAGACACAAACAGACTGTCGGGTCGGGTATGAGAGGGGTGTGCTCTCGTCTTGCAGAACTGGTGTAGTCGGCAATGTACACATAAAAAAGCAGGGCATAAAGATAATATTGTAGAGGAACCACCTCCGGGACTATTATTGTGTATTACTTAGAAGTGGAATGCACAGGCTAGGCCGGTAATTATTTTCATACGCACAGAGGCGGCCGTTATTGTGAACATAATTTTTTTTTTTATTATTATTTATCTTAATTCCAGTTCCGTACATCAAAAGATTGAGCGCATCGAGTGAATTCTCACAACAATTATCTTCCGTTTGTGATACAATTGTTATCTGTTCGGTTAGTATTATTTTTTCGTAGCCCATTAATTTCCACACAATCTTCATTATCTTGCACTATAGTTTACATCGTCTTGTAATGTCCCAGCGACCGTTGGTTAATACGCCTACTACCACCGCACTGCGAACATCTGAAGAAAATAATAACAATCGCCGTCGATCCAACGAGAAGACGAATCGTTGCCGGCGCACACGCGGGTCTAATTATTGCACAGCGTATAGTACCTGTCGTCTGGCGCTCTTGCTTTTTGCTCTTTTTGTTGTTAACCTTATAATTTGGGGCGGATGAAAGTAATCACACCAACAGTCATCTAACGTTCTACAAGTTCCCCGGGGCAATGGCAGCAAGCAGCCTAAAAATACACAATGACGCTAATCTTTTTATTTTCCCTTCGTATTGAAAAAATTATGAACCAGTTTATCAAAAAAAAAATAATAATAATAACATTATCATTATCGACAATTTATAGCGTTTTTTCTAGTAAATTATATGTCTGGCTAAACGATTTTGTTCATTTTTACCGCCGTAATAAAATAATGGACTTGGACGACTCTACTAGTTAAAAATGTGAGAAAAAAATCTATTAATTAGTTAGATTTATGGCGACTGTTCGTTGGATTTAACGATGACCTATATGGCTGTGTGTTTGTTATTACAAAATCGTATGCCGAGAACACATTGCCAAACCGTTTTGTCGTACACAAGAACAGTGATGGTGCGATAGCGGCGGCGATATTAATCTGGACAGATCCATGTATATCATATTGTCGCCGTCGGACGGATGACTTAACGTTTTCGATGGCACTGTCCGATAATGAAACAAGATTAATATCTCACATTTTGTATCCTCGGGAACAGGCGACGACCGTCGAATACCTCGAAAACAATATAATAATAGCTAAAAGATCCGACGCCGGACAGATCTTTTCGTGAATAGTGTTGTACAATGTGGTGGTGGCGCCCAAATTATATTTTTCTTGTCTCGGTTTGTAAATGCTATTTCGCAAGTGTATCGTATGTTCGGCTATCGACTATATTATTATTCAATGGAAATAAAATAAAAACGGTTTACTACATTGTGGTGTATGAATGTTTCGTGGAAACGAGAAGGGTAGATAATGGCGTCAAGGGTGTTTGGTGGCGCCAGACAAATACCTAGTGTAGAAAAACACCAACAAGCCACTACTATTAGTACCAACTACCCTAAAAATATCAGTAACAAGAGCAGCGAACAACACATATTCTTACAGTATAATTGCACTACCTGCACATCCTGTCCGCTGCATGTTAACAACTGTTACCACTCACCATACATGATTAAATTTGTGTTCCCTTCGTTCTCTAATAATATGCCTAACAAGTTGAATTACGCCATCATTGTTTCTGTGAACTACGGACAATGAAGTCAGAACACAAAACAAACTAAAAGAATATTCTAATGCACAAGACAAACATATCGCTTATTGTTGTTTGTTAAAAAAAAAAAATGTGTCGCTAATTTTTTACAAAGTGTACACCGATTTCTACAGATCGTAACGACAGAATCGAGTTTGTCTAACACAAACATACATTTTTGTGAAATGTGTTCAAGTTATCGAGTAGTAACGTTTAATAAATTCATATCACGGTCGCTCTTCTAAGCTGTCCACGCGCATTAGATTATAAGTTGGTCATTTTTCTTTTACATATTATATCATCGATATAAAGCCAGTCGACGGCAGCAAACCCAGTTCTGTTACAGTATATATAAACACTTGAGTGTTTTTTAAATACGTTTCAGGGAGTGTATGAAATACAAGTAGCCACTTACTGTCTTTACGAACGGACTATCCGTAAGTACATGCTATTTATTGTCAACTGCAGTGTTATCGGTAGATATGATTTTAATGATAGATGCTCGTATTTTTTGCTCTGAGAATCTCATCAACGAAATATAAATCATATAATCTTATAACTAACTAATATAATTAATGAAATCTTGTATCGATGAAATTAGTTCGTCAGCGCGTGTGTCGTATTTTTTAAAAGAATAAAAAACATAAATCTTTTGTACGAAAAAATAACTTGCCGATTTATAAGTCTCATTTGTATAATAATTTGTATAAATAAGATTGGAACACGCGATCCTTTTTTGAGCGCGTGCGACTTGCGGATAAAATCGCTTTAATTTGTATTTATGTGACTAGGTAGGGCATGTGGCGCAGGCACTCGAATGGACATTCGGCCCGATTAAGTTAATTAGTATTCAACTGGTGGCAATAACGGATAACTGATACTTGTGGCCCGCTTGCCATGGTGGAGAGGTAATACTATACTTGGTGGTACCTGCACTACTGTTATTTATACCTTCACAGTCTATGACATGTGGTCTTGTCCAGTCACTTCTAAGTGCTGTGACGACAAACGTCATTAGTGCGATTTGCATACGACATTAATCGCGAATTCCGTATGTATCTTTCCGCGCGTGTTAAGCTGGTACAACATTGTCGTCGCCAACGATTATGATGTGTACATATAAATGTTTTAATAATTTCGTTGACGTTTAATGTTTGCCCAATCGCTTTAGTCCGAGTCGTTGGCAATTGAGCTTTGATTTTGCTGTCGAATACTTGGCCAATGTTAAAAAACCGGGTAAATGGAGTAGGTTATTTTCAGCGTGCGATTCCATGGCGTTTCAGCGAACTAATATTTATAGTCTCTCTTGTGCTAAACCTTCTGCGGTGCACACCAGTCGAAAACGTCTGGGACAAGGCTATTATAGAGCGAATACGACTGCAGTATCGACATAACTCAACTATTATTACGCGTACTTTGCCGCCGTCGACTATATAAACTAATAAAGGCCAAGTGTACAATAAAAAAGTATAAAATAATTTACCTTACTGGCGTTCATTAAACGTTATTAAAATTCCACGAGCCTTTACCTGAGCCCCGTCGCCTGTATATCCGTTGGTGACTAGCAGCGGCAGTCATTGCTACGGTCACGCACATAAATAATATTTTTTATTTCTACAGTTATCTATTATTGTGTTTATTTTTCTTTGTCATAATCTACCATAGTTATTGTTTATTCCTATCAGGAAAATCGGATTCCACGATCGATGCCAAAAAATTAATTATTTATACTAAAAAAAATTGTTTATGTCTTCGCCTAAAGACTTAATAAGGGCCCGTTGTCGATGCATGTTGAGTCTAATCAATATTAAACGTGTATGTTTACATTAGTAACTCGAATAAGTATTATGGATTACGACTGGTGTCTGCGTTGTAACAATATTATTTACTAAAAATTAATTATTTATTCTGATCAGCCAACGATGACGCGAGTACAAGGCAAATCTAAATGATCGACCGCTTAAGATCGTACGTTGGGAGTTCGACGGAAGAAACAATGTGGATGATTTTTTTTTTTTTTTTTTAATTCTCGACAATACAACGCGCAGCAATAATTCATTTCGCCCTCATGTTCGTTGTTCAATCAGACTACTTTTAATGGCTCTTCGGAACACAAATACCAAACGTCGTATTCACGACCGTATACGGGAAACACTGTATTATGGTAATTTGAGATTGCATTGAAAGACAAATTAATGGCTTCAAACGGACGTGTATTAGACAATAGGTTTATACCGTATAATTAGATGTTATATGTTTGCCATTTGCATAAGGTTTTTGGCTAGACAACGACAGCCATGGCGCGTGCGAGTCCTTCGAAGAAATCATTTTTATTTTAGCATTATTGATTGCGAATTATTTTTTCTCAACCGTAACTATCCCAACCTAATATTACATCACTCTCGTATGAATCTAGTCGTTACGCCGTTTACACTTACAAATAACCTCGGCCGGTCAATATAAACAACAGAATTTATTATTAATATTATACTCGCTAAAAATAAAGACTGAGACTTGGTTGTACATCATAAAAAATAAGATCGTTAAACGAGGGTCGAGCTATGACTGTGTTTAAACCTCACGCGATTGAATGTTACTTTACCCTCTTGGCATTTACACGTTTTTTATTTTTCATTTTTAATGATCTATCAGACCAAAAGCCAACTAGCCAGGTCAAGCTGCGTTTTCGTTTAAATGCAAACTCTCTAAAACAATCCAAGACGAAACGCCCACCACTTATTCATACCCGCGAAAATATTAACTGCGATCTGGTTAGGTTCCCAAGAATTTTATTTCAACCGAATATTTTTACGAAGTTCATGTTTAATTCTTCTCTGTTCTCATTTGAAGGATATGATACTTCGGTCTTTGTGCATAACATTAGTCAAACTGTTCATTGCGTTCGTACAAAAAAATCGCTATAACAATACAATATTATTATTGACCGTTTGCATTTATAAATGTTTCCATTTGTAAACTTGTTTTTTTGTTTTCCAGACACAGAACTTCGGTGCTATTGCAACCTGTCCGAGTGCATAGTCAACGGTTACATGTGCAAGTCGTCGGGGGCCGGATGTTTTTCCGAACTGGAAGTGTCCGACACCGGACTGTACGTGCTCAAAGGCATTTACGGTTGTCTGGACTTACTGCCGCTGTGAGTAACAATAAAAAATCAATTATTAATGACATTATTCCCAAATCTATGGACGCATATTTTCTCTGGAGAACAAAATAATTGAAAATTATGTCCAAGGTCGCTGACAAGTGATCGGGCCGAATACATTATTATTATTATTGTTGTTTGGCATTTGCGACAAGTCGATAGACTTCACTTTTCCATTCTTTGATAATAACGTACCATAATATAAATAATAGACCGGACCGGCAGCCGTTCCCAGACCCTCTACTCAGGTGCATTGTACGTTAATAATAATGGTAGCGATTGCCGGCGCCTGGCTCATTCGACACACAAACGCAGTGCATGTAATCCCGTGGATTTCAATTTATTCCATCTCCCTCTTTCCTCTCTGAGTATTTCTTTTATTTTTATTTACACTCCGACGGTACGTTTGCCGTAACGATAATAATTATTACCCGCACACGTCGCCTGGAAATTCTTTACAATGTACTCGTGATTTCGGCGGATAGATTCATTTGTATTTTTTTATTCCTTATCCCGTCAATCCCGCAACTCTTCGTACAAACGGGCTCGCCCTAATGTATCGTCTTCGTAAAACAACTGAGATATTATCTGTGCAATGACACTTTCCTTACCGCCACTTATCATCCTTCAAATAATCTCCGGATCGACTGCCTTCGACGCTTGTTATATTTTGGTCTCTGGAAAAAACTATTGTTTTCCAAAACCATAGGTTAACCTTCAAATGAGAAAATCTCAAGCAATTGGACTAACACGATTATAATTTTAAAACTAATGGATTTTAATGTAATTGTTTAGGAATAAAAGCTGCGATGAAATATTGAAAACCGATGTCGACCCGTACCACTGCTGTACACAAGACATGTGCAACGACAACAACGCAATTATGAGTCTCGGGACGAAGAAATACTTTTCTTTGCCTTCGGCCTTGAAAGACGAAAGCAGTGAGTTGATATTGACAAGTGTAGTCAATTTTATAACAATTTATTTTTACTTTTTAAAAACCAAATTTGTCTACGGCAGGATTGATTGGATTCAGTTACTCTATTTAATGATTTATATCGACACTGAAATTTAATTGTTGAAACTCGAAAATCGCCCACTTTCATTGATAACTCTAAATATTTTCGTATAGTCTTAGAGGCATAAATTTTAAATCTTCTGGACAATTTTCCTCTACTTTTTAATCGTGAGACTTTATTTGAGTGTACTAAACTGCTATTCCCAAAACTAGATAAATGCAATTAAATTCTTATATGATAATGAGTTGAGGAAAATACTGGTAATTAATGAAATGATGATTTAATAAATAATTTCATTTGATTTAAGTCACTGGTAACATGAAAAGTCTTTTAATAGTCGGCCGAAAGACTTGAAGCGAATATCTGTTACCCATGTGTGCATTATCTCGGAACACCTGTAAACTGTGCCATTTGGACTGATTTTGAGTGTAATATGCGGCCAAGAATAAATTATAGATTTTAATTACTTCAAGTAAATTTCGATTTAAAAAATAATAATTTTTGTCGAATCCCCGATCGGGCCTAAGTTGTTATAACAAAAAACAATCCGCCTATTAGTCTCAAATAAGTTTTATAGCTTAATAGAATTAATAGTGATCAGAAAAATAATATAACTATAAAGATTGTAAAATTATTTAAATCTAATTAAAAATGTTTAAATACTTTTTTTGAACTAAGTCCCTTAGTCCATATAAATTATTTTACTTCATAAAATAATAAAATAAATTTTAAATAATAATTATTATTTTAAGTAAAGAGTTGCAAGTGTGTCTTCGAGATTTAAATATTAACATGTTAGTTGTTTGTCCAGTTGAATAATTATCATATTTTTTTTAAACACATTTTTGGCATTTAAAAAATTCATTTCTGTAATCAATAAATGAAATTAACTATATAGTTTATGTATTTTTGAAATTTAAAATTCTCGAAAAATGTATATTTGAGACCCAAGTGATTCGTTATAGTTGGTCGTATACCATTAGTTCAGTAGTTTGTTTTATTAAAAATAAAAATTGATATTTAGTTACTTAACTAATTTCAGTAATGGGCAGTTTCGGGTTGTGAATACCGTAAATTACACACTTAACAACAAGTGTTAAATAAATTAACCTGTAATTTTCGCATAGTTTACAATCATCTACGATACACCATATCGTAGTTAATGGCGTATTGGCGATAAAAACCTGTGAGCGCAAACAGCAATTAGAAGTTGTAATGATTATTAGGCGAGAGTCATTAATGTTTATTTTCGTTTTAAAAACTACTAATAGTATTTCAAATTTAGTCTATCAGATTTGTAATGCACATTTAATTAGAGTTTGTTTCAATGGCTCGGTTGAAAACAAATCAAATTTACCGAATTGTTTACACGGTCTGCGGTAATTTTGGTCAACGTTGACTATTTTATTGCTAATGGATTCACCAGTTAAAATGTAACTGTGGAGTTCGTTAGAGACCCCTTTGAGCTGCAGTAAATATTTCTCGTGTTATATTAGAAATGATTTTTTTACACATTTTCTACGCCGATAAAGCAATTTTAATTTATTACAAAAACCTTCACTCTATTTGATTCGTGTTAATTACTCAACCGACCTGCCTATTGGATCGCGTTACTGACGGTCTTGTCGCGAAAGTTTCTGTTGGTTTACTATGGAGATGTTTTTTCCCAATCTCATTCGAACTCGCGCTTAAAAAAACATTTCAAGGGAACCGCAGTGATTCATTACACATCATGCACTTTTGCAGTCACCTTATTACACCATTACATAACGTACATTAGTTTGTACTTGGCGGTCACAAATTATTCTTCACTCAAGCGCACGGTAACGGCGGCGGCACTTTAAGTGCATCATTTCGGTTTTGGAATTGACCTTGTCGTCATTGTTTCATTACGGTATACGGTTTTATTGTTGAAAAGAAATAACAAAGTAAACGCGTTTAAGTAGATATCATTTTGGAGTGNACTTTAAGTGCATCATTTCGGTTTTGGAATTGACCTTGTCGCCATTGTTTCATTACGGTATACGGTTTTATTGTTGAAAAGAAATAACAAAGTAAACGCGTTTAAGTAGATATCATTTTGGAGTGGAATCTGGAAATAATAATATCGCGTTCGTCGGCATAATATTATACTAGAAAAATCCATTAGTCTGTCCGGCCGTCGCGGGAAAGGATAAGGAAAAAATGAGTTTGGTTAATTACGTTTGGAAATGTAAACAGATAAGTAGGATACCTTGTAAAACCAGTTAACGGCGGCGGGCCGAGAGTAATGGCGCGGAGTGGAAACACACACGCGGCCCTCTACACACGAAATTACTGTGTATATTTTATTATTATGTTCTCTGATCGTCTTTGGGTCCTTGCCAGGCAGAAACCATTAGCGTCGTGTGTACGTCGCGACCAGCTGAGGACTGCACTAGGCGGTGGCGCTTTTACATAATATTGTATTTCGACAATGTGTATTTCTCTTATCTCCGACAGACCTGTTTTTCCCGTGAAGAGAAAAAAACGCGTTTTCATGATGGTCGCACGGCGATATTTACAAAATATTTCTCTCGTGTTGTCAACGCTCAAAAAACAATTAAAACGTCCATATGATTATCGGATAGTGTGTTGTCGCGCCGCCAAATTACTTGTAAAAAGCCTACGCGGTCACCCACCGGAGGAGCTGATAAGAAACCGGCCGGTGTTGTTGTCGCTGCCGACGAAAACTCGAAATCCGTTCGACGCTCGTGTAATCTCGTATCGATCCGCATTAGTTACTCAATGTACGAACAATCCATCTTGTCTACGTCACACGTGATTATTATTCGAGAAAAACGTCATCGTTAACGTTTAAGTGGAATTCGACACGGTCGGGACACCCGTGGCAAATAAGCGCTGCGACGGTTCAAACCGCTCCGAACAATTGTTGCGTAATGAGTTTATTTTTAACGACAGTTAAATAGAGAACGCGCACGAGTTGAACGAATTTCGGTCCATTGCGACCAGCCTCAGTAATTACTATTGTACGATCCGTCGCACAAGTGCCGTTAATTATTATTATCTAGTTCAAAACACAATGGCTTTAATTTGTTAAGTTATGCTAATACAGTTCTTGTCGTTCCTCTTTAAATGGTTTTCTTATTCCGAAGGTTTCGCTGTCTTGTTTTTAGCGCAGTGCACTTTGTACTCAGCCGACGGTAGGTTGACACATGTTTGAACGCGTTAAAATAACATTACACTTTTACATCTTTTCACTAATGTTTTTTTGATTTTTGTTTATGCAGACGTTCAGACCAATAACACGAGAACCGTTTGGCAAAGGCGCAATACAGCCATGATATCCAACACCGAAATGGAATGGTTCGAGACCATGACTCTGTTCGTACCGATATGCGGCGCTGTAGCGCTCGTGCTTCTGGTGTTCATCGCCATCAAACTACTCAAGTCCAACAGTTCGCTGGACGACGGATCGTTGGTGTCGAAAATAAGGTAAACATCTCTACAGTGTTTATGTTAACTGGTCGACGATGTGTGCCAGCGCACAATTCAAATATGATTCTATTCTTAACAAAAAGAAAACTGTTTTGGAAGCTACCGCTAAACGCATGTGGTGTGATATTACTGGTACGAGTCCTCCGACGGGACAGGAAGGAACCAGTGACTCTATTAATAATCGGCTAGCACGTCGAGCGATGTTCACACGAATAGCACACGTCGATCCGGTGATTAATATTCGCTTTTCAGTAATTCCACGTTTTATCAAAATAATAATGTATTTTTTAAACCAAGTTCCGACACAAAGCGGCAAAAAAAAATCGTCGGTGGGTACATAAAAGTAATAAATTATAAATTTCTAAGCCTATGTTGCAACTGTTCGTCCGGTTTCGCTCAGAACCAATATAATTTTGAAATTTTATCATGCCCATGAACACGGGATGGCTTCTTATGTTCAATGGTTACTCCATCGTCAGACCTCCCAAGGAGAGAATGCTTCATGCTTTACGGTTTTTGTGAAAAATACACTTAAAATTATTTTTATATTCAATTACGACAATCAATCATATTGTTGTAATCGATTTCGCTACATTTAATAAACGATAGGCATGTTATACGCATAAATCGTAATATTTTATTTTGCCAGTGACAAGTCTAAATGTAATTGTAGTTTTAGCTACGAAAATTTCATTTTAATATATTTTTTTTTTATCGTGGTACTTTCAACTTAATACTAAATTACTATTTTAATACTAAATTAATACTATTTAATTTAATTAATACTAAAACTACTTAGTCGTCAGTTGTTGTCGACTACAGAGAATTTTTATAATTCGTCTGCGAATATTTTAGGAGACGTACTTTTTTAACCAATTTTTTTTTTTATAGCAACAATATTTCTTTTGTATCTCGGATATTGTGCTATTTACTTTCTCCTCTGCGCAACGTAAAAATACAACAATAATGATTATTATTGGAAGAATTAGATAATACTCCGATGAATTTAAATATTTCACGTCAAAAATATGAATTTAACGTAAGTTTTTTTTTTTTTAGACCAAATAAAAACTATGGTTTTACTATACTGCCCAACGGCAGAGGATCAGGACCGGGGGGCGTGCACAACACAATGAAAGTATCGTCTAATGGTTACCACAAGTGTGTACAGTCGAAGATGCTTCCCTCTGACGTATACAGGCCAACTACATACGTGTTCGCCGTACCTACGACAGCCGAGAAGAACGCAGCTTATGCCAACGCCAACCATATCGACTTGGCCAAGCACAGCCTGATCGCGCCCGTCAACTGTTGTCACTACGAAGAAACTTTGAGCGCACAGAGTCCTCCTCAGTACACGCCAGTAGACACAAACAACAAAAACAACAACGATCCGACGGTCGCTGTTCCTACGGCATGTCACAACTTGTAACCGATGGAGTACTGACCGGTTCGGCGAAAAATGCGTTTTGTCTAGTCCGAAAAAAAAAATTCGACTAATATTAATAATAATTGTTTTTATTTATATATTTGAATTATTATTATTATTATTAAAGTTGTTGTTGTTACTGTTGTATATAAACCTGTACTATTCGCATGGAATATGTACATATTTATTGTAATTCGCTTCGTATTGACAACATATAAATGTGCGTACACGCCATTAGATTAATTGTCAGGTCGGCCGCCGTGCAATTTTCGGGTATATTTTTTACTGTCCTTTGCGGCCATTTTTTATAATTATCTGTTATCACTTTCATAGATTATATAACAACAATCAAAGATTTTTAATTATACGACCATAATTCCCAGATCCTACTGTGTCTTAACTTCTTTAGAGCTCTTCGACAATGTGTTCGTTATTTGTTTACTATTATAAATAATGATTTTGATTTTTATGGTATTAACACTAATCGAGTATCTTGAAGATTAAACGATTTGTGATAATTATTATAAGTGATAACTTATCAATCCTGTGAAATATACCTCAGACAGCTTTAAAACAATATGCCACATTTTGTTTTGATTTCAAAAATACAATTTTTTTTTTTACACAAATCATTGTATTTTTCAAGTTTAGGACGTCTTTCGTGGATCTAATGTGTTTTTTTTATATAATATAATTAATTTTGTTATTAAATTTCACAACTGTCTGATGTATGATTTCATTTAGTGCGAAATCATAATTTTTAATAAAAAATTTTATGCGAAGTACCTAATACAATTATCATTTCATTTAACAATTTTGATCGCCGTTACTGTAAGACTGAACCGCACAGGGTAAAATATTTTAAATTTTAATAATTATTATATAATTTTAAATGCGCATCACTTTTATTATTATGGTCTATATTTTTTTATCTTGTTTTTTTATTTGATCTGCATTTTTGTGTATTTATCTAAAACACTTATATTTCATTATTATTATATGTATAGCAAATTAATAATTAGTTATTTAAATATAAAAACCTGTATGCATAGAATGTACATTTTAATAATTATCACGTGTTATGTTATTGTAAATAAATTATAAGAAACAATCAATCATTGTTTTTCTTATTATTTCTGTATATTCTCACGCACAGCTATTCACATTGAATATTTAACATTAATTTTATAAAAAAAAAATATACATATATATTTGTATAAAATATGATAACACATAATAGTAGTTATATTTTAAAAAACCCAGCTCAGGGGGGTCGCGGCACAGTGGTGACGTGGCATAGTTGGATCAGGTATAGTGATATCTGACAGTGATTAAAATCACTATCAAAAATAAACGATTCGATGCAAATCTTTAGATAGTGTTTAATTTTAAAAAAATTGGTGTTTTATTCCAAAAGCTACTTGATCTGCTGGTTCCTTATTAATATCTCGATTAAGATAAAGTATGTCGAATGAAAAAGGGTTTATTAAAAAATATTATTTCTCATAAAAAAATTGTGTGGATCCATAAACTTTTCAATAAGTTATAGCATTATAAAGTTAAATATAATATAAATAATAAAATCGAGAGTTTTCAGACGAAAATAGTATTCGATACACATTTTCACCATGAAGACAAGTCTAGAAGTCAAATTTTTTTTTTTCAAATTAAAGTATATTACATTAGCTTTAATTTAAGATATATATTAAAGTGTCAGACCTCCCGGAATATTTTCAAAAGTTAAGTTGAAAAAGTAAATTTTTTGTGAAAAAGTTGTCATTTTAAATCCTCCCTGTGGGCAGGTTAAGCGTCAGATTTACAAAAAAAATATACCAAATGATAAGTAAAGACATCAAAAATCTATAAAAAAAAAAATTATATTGATATGTTCATTTTTGAAAAAGTTACGGCAGTTTTTAGTTAAAAAAATTGAAAAAATTTCGAAAATTAGCGATTTTTAAATTTGTAATTTTTTTGGAGGTTTCCCCCATTTATAGGGAACGAGGGAAATTTTTTCAATTTTGAAGGGTAATGTCTTCGACTAGATACGATTTGTGATCTTTTGACGTAT